GAGCACATGAAAGAGAGAAAGATCACATCACAAAAGTCAGAGAGAGACTCTCCCTTCCAACAACACACCCAGTTTGCTAAAGACTTCCTACTAGGCCCCCACCTCTTCAAGCACCAGGGACCTAGCTTCCAACACATGACCCCTTGGGGGACTTGCTGAAACACACCCAAAACATGGTTGGAGTACCCAGAAGACCCAGTCATGCCACCAGGCCCAGCTGTCCTTCCTGTCAACTGTGAGTGGGATCCTTAAAGAAACCGCCTGTGTCAGTGTTGTTCATATCATGCTGCGTAACAAACAAGCCCCCACCTCTCAGGGACTAGCCCAAGGGTAGAGGGTCTTCCACTGGCTACAGCAGTCCCATGGCTGGTGGGCAACAGCAGCCCCCAATCTGGGATCTTGCTGGTATCGAAGCAAAGAGATAAGATGGCAGAATGCTGACCTGGGCAGCCACATATGTCACGTCCACCCCATTTCAATGGCCAGAGCAAGTCACGTGGCCAGGCCTAATAGCAACATGCAGGAGACGCAGAGGCAGGGTGGGGCAGCAAATATTTGGACAATAATGCAATCTACCAGGGGCCAACTGGATGAGGAATTGACCCACGGTGAGCCCTTCATGCCCGGCCAGGTCAAACATGCCAGCACCCCGAGATAAGCCACAATTATCAGTGGCAAGTTTTTTTGTTTTGTTTTGTTTGTTTTTTGGCAGTACTTGGGATTGAACCCAGGGCCTCACACAGGCTAGGCCTCTACCACTGAGCTACACTCCCAGCCCTTTTAAAATTGTATTTTGAGATGGGTTCTAAGTTGTCCAGGTGAGCCTTGAACTTGCCATCTTCCTGACTCAGCCTCTCAAGTAACAGGGATTGCAGGTGTGTGCCACAGGGCCTGGCTACGTTTTGTCTTTTAATCCACCTAAAGAGAAGGTGGATGTGGTCCACAGAGGAGAAACACCCAGAAAACAGTGCTCTTCAAAAGAAACCCGCTCTGCCGTGAGGAGGGGAGACGGTGCAGCCACTTTGAAGCTGGCTCGGTGGTTGCTTACAAATCTTAACATGCTCTCAGCATTTGATCCAGCCGCCGTGCTCCTTGGGATTCACCCAAAGGAGTTCAAAACTTGCAACCACACAAAACCCCGCACACAGATGTCTCTAGCCGCTTTATTCAAAACTGCCCAAACCAGCAAGCAACCAAGATGTCCTTCAGGGTGCTAGAGGATGGGAGAAGTACATCAGACCGAGGGATCTGGTTCAGTGCAAAAGGAATGGACTCTTCTGCCTTGGAAAGCCCTGGGGGAACTGGTCACCCACCACAAAGAGAAAGAAGCAATCGGAAAAGGCCACGCTTGCAACTAAGAGACATTCTGGAAGAGGGACACAAGGAAGATGGTAAAAAGATCAGTGATGGCCAGGGGTCTGGGGGTGGGGCCGGAAGGGGAGAAACGGGGGAGCAGGAAGGCGTTCCAGGACAGTGACATGCCCTGAATGATCTTGCACTGGTGGATGACACATGCCATTGAATGGGCACCAACAGCTAAAAGCGAACCCTAATGTAAACTAGCCACTGTTAGTAACAATGTATCATAAAACACAAGCAGAAAACAAACAGGGCACAGTCTCCTCAGATAGCATCAGGCCTGGGCGGTGCCCTAGGCTGGAATCCCAGAACCCCGGGAAGCTGAGACCAGGTGGAGGCCAGCCCCAGCAACGCAGTGAGACCCTGTCTCAAAATAAAAAGGGCTGAGGATGCAGCTCAGTGGCGGAGCAGCTCTGGGTTCAAACCCAGTCGGAGAGAAAGAGAGAGACGGTCAGGGAATAGCCTCGCCGAGTGGCCCGAGGCCTCGGGGCCGCAGGCAGGGCTGCTGACTGAACCGGATGGTGCTCTGGGGCCCGGCAGCCAAGGGTAGAAAGCAGGACAGGCAGCGGTCGGAATCCCAGCTTATATCCCAAAGAAGGGACTTAGGTTCTCTGTTCCCGCTTCTCTGGGGAGGCCGACGCAGCCTGGGAAGGGCCACTTCACACCACTCTAGGAACCCAGGAGGCTGCCTGAGTCTGAGTTCCTGCCCACCCCACCAACTCACCAGCTGTCCCGAGGGCCTCCCACCCAACAGCGCCCCTCTCCCATTCCCAGCCCCAGGGCCTTGGCCCTGTTCCCTCTCACTCCCCCACCCCCGCCCTGCGGATGGGCATGTGTCACCTGATAGGAACTGGAGCAGGGTACCTGCGTGCCCCATGTCCGCACACGCCCCCTGCGCCCGACTGTTTGCCCTCACTGGTCCCCTTTGCGTGCTCCCCGGCCCTGTCTTGGGCTCACCATGCCACCTTGGCAGTGGAAGAGACCCCAGGAGCAGGGAATCGTGTTCCCTTCTGCGTCTCTGGTGCCTGGGGCAGGGCCTGACATGGGGAGGCCCACCACCCAGTACCTCTGCCTCAGCGGCCAGTGTCTTCCTGGCCCCTCCGGCCCCTCCCACAGGCTCTCTGGTTCTCTACCCAGCAGCCACCTCCCCTGGCTGCAGCCCCCCAGGGGCTCCTAAAGACAAAATCTGACCTTTGACCCAGCCCAGGAAGGGACTGGAGACCAGTACCAGAGAACAGGAAGGGGGAGGCCGCAGAGGCAGGACCCAAAGCACACTCTCACGCTGAGTAACGTGCCAGTGACATGTGTGCTGGCCCCACAGCCACCAGCAGGCCAGCTCAGGCTCCTGGCACCAGGGCTGACTCCAAGTACCCCTCAGCCCCGCTTCTCCTGCCTCACCCTGACCCTCAGACTCCAACACGCACCCATCCTCCCTCTGGGCTGGGCCCGGGCTGTTCTCTGGGGGACTTCCTAGGGCACCAGCTTGAGGCCTACCCACCACTGCCCAGGGAAAATCCCTCCCAGCATCACCCCTGTGGACAGCAGGCCCACGGTCTCTCTGCCCAGCCAGGTCCACAGGACAGGACAGGACAGCCTCTCAGTTTTACCCTGGATGCCCAGGGAGCGGGGCCAGCTGACCCACGCGGCTGTTAGCTGCGAGCCCGCTGCCACCCTGGGTAAGGACTGGGGCACATGCTGATCCTGCTGTCATCAGCAGCTCACATGAAAGAAGGGCTTTCCAGCAGTGCCATGGATTGTCACCGTCCCCATGACTGTCTTCATAAGTCACGGGACACCAGAGCTGGAAGGCACCTCGGACATTCTCAGCCTCACAGGAAAACTGAGGCCCCAGAGAGTAAGATTTCCTGGGGTCGCCTGGGCCAGAGTCACACTGTGACACACACAGGGCACAATCACAATGCTGTTTCCCTATGGAGGGTGGTCTCCGGGGGCGGCTGCGGGTTCCCGCTGGAGTAGGAGTTGCACTGGGAAATGGCAAAGGCCGTGCCCACCTTTGTGTCCCCACACAGCCCTCCCTGTTTTTGAGAAAGCCGGTCAAGTAACATCAGGAGGCAAGGCAGCAGGAGAGCACCCCAGGTCCGCAAGCCCCGGGGCAAGGGCGGTGAGAAGCAGAGAGGGGGCAGAGGCCTGGCGACCCTTCCTATGGGGGCTTCTGCAGAGCCGCGTAAGTGGACCTGAGACAGTACCATCGGGATTCTGTCACCACAAAAGCCACTCACTTGGGTCCCCCTTAGCTCCACTGCCTGCACTACAACTTGTCCCCCACTTCAGAGGACAGGGCTTTGCTCTGGCCACCGGGTGGGTGTGGGCCCCTCTCCCCAGGTCTGCTCAGGTGTGATTCCCAGGCCACCACAGGCCAAGGGCTTCTGAAGGCATCAGGGCCTGCCACTTGGTAGGGATGGGAGCCTTTCCTGGGGCCTTTCCCAGGGCCTGGCCCCTGCAGGGTCTTGGGCAGCTGGGGAAGGGTTAACCGTACACCACCCACACATCTTGACAATCCCCGTCTTGTCCAGTGCCGCACGCAGCCCATCATGCCCACTGCTCTCCCTTCCCACCTCAGGGCACCAGCAGAACCCGCTGTGGGTCTGACTTTGCTGTGTCCCATCACCCTCTTCATTGTGAGCTGATTTTCAGAGGTTTATAGGTCAGCTATAAAAAATAAACTTCCACTTTTGAATCAAAGGGAGCACTTTGAAACCAGGAGGCCATTGCTGCGCCCAGCAAGTGTGATGGGGGCAGGTGACGGAGCCTTGAGTTGTCCCACCCGACCTGTTCACAGGCCATCCTCCCCTTGTCATTGCCCTGCTTTTCTTCCATCAAGGCCATAATGTGGCCCACTCTTGGGGTACCCTGTCCCATGAAACTGGGGACAGTTGGGGCTCCACTTTGAGAAGGACCCGAAGGACCCCAGGGTCTTATCCAATCCCTGCAGGTACCCATTAGTGGTTCCTTGGAGAAAGGGAAGTCATCAACTGGGACATTTGTCTTCAAGCCCAAAATGCAGGGCTGAAGCTGGTGAGTGTGCCAACCAGGAGGAAGCCCCCTCCCTTTTCAACAGGGCTTTACTCTGCCAAGGGCCAAGTGTCTGCCCTCCACTCCCCCAACCCCACGCCCCTCCCCCCGCGTGTTCTATCTCCCCAGCTTTGGGGGGACACGATCGTAAAAGCACAGTAGACTGGAGGTGCAGCATTTTTGGCCTCTTTATTTAGAATTTGACGGATGTGGAGCTGGGGCAGTGGTACAAACGGCTCGGGAACCATTTTTAACAGATTTGTCTTCAAGTTTAAAATACAATGATTATAAAAGAGCAAAAGCGTGAAAAGGCTGCAAGCTAGGTGCATATGTGTGGCAGCTAATTTGTGAGCGACCCCCCCCCTCCCCTAAAGCCCGCTATTCAATTTACATTTGTGGATAACTGAGAAGGATGAGATATAGTGCCTTTGGCATGACCAATGACCGGGCAGGGCATGGTGGAGATGCCCATGCCCGGACATAAATAGAACATATAAGTTAGTATAACTTTTAAAAACTTTTTGTACAAATATACATGGGTTTTTTTCTTTTTATCCTTTTTTTTCTTTTTTCTCTTTTGTACTTTTTTTATACTTTTCTCTTTTTTTTTTTGCAGAGTTTCAGCAGAGATTAAACATTTTATATAAATGACTCTTAAAGCTTTACACCTTGGGACCAGTGTACTCCTGTGCAGATACATCTTGATATAGAGACGTCATTACACATTGCACACGTTTCAGATTTTTAAACACGAAGCCAATCGCTGCTCTGCGGCAGCCGCCGCCGGTTGCTGCTACATGTACGGTCCCAGCCGAGGCCCAGCTGTCTTCCAACATCCGCCGCCCAGGAATTCTCAGGGCTCTAAACTGGAAAGGAGAGGGAATTGTGAGCAAAGACTGCGGGGACCCCGCGGAGTGGCCCTCCGCGGCCCCCGGTGGCGCCGGACTCACCTAACTCATCGCAGACGCTTGCGCGGGGTCTGCTCCACGGCGCCCACCCCAGGAGCCGCGCTAGCAGAGGGACACCCCGCAGGGACATCGCCCGACGACTTCTCAGGCGCAGATCTCTTGCGCTTGGCGAAGAAATCTGCTGGCGACATCGCGCGGCGGATCAGGGCGGGGTCGGCGGGAACCCAGAGAGGGGGCCGGGAAAAGACTCGGGGCGCTCGGGCTGGGGTGGGGGCGCCGTCCCCGCCCGCGCCGAGGTCCGCGGCGGGTCAGCTTTGTTTACGTCGCCGCGCAATGTGCTGTGTAAGCATTTCCCCTTGTCCCGCGGCCAAGCCCCCCGGGGCTGCCGCCGCACTTAACCCCCTCGGCGCCGCGTTTTTTGCGCCCGACGCGCCTGGGACAGACTCCTGCGGCCGGGGCCGAAACCCTCGCTCTGACAGGGTCGGGACCGGGCTCAGCCCCCCGTCGCGCTCCCTCGATCCGCTAGAGACGACCACCGACAAGCGAGGAGGGGCTGCGGACTCAGCCGCGCCCTTCGCGCTGCGGGCCCTTTAATGCCACGGGAGGAGGCGGGGACCAAGAGAGGCCCCCGAGGGCTGGGGAGAGACCGGCCGGCCGGACAAAGCGGGGCCGGGCTGGACCGGGGCGGGGCCGCCAGATACTTACCAGAGATGAGAGGCCCCGACAGCTTCTTGATCGCCGCGCTGCTGTTAGCTCCCGCTGCAGCGGTGCCGGCCGCGGGACGTCCCGGAATCCCCGCGTGCATCTGGTCAGCGAGCGGCTCCTGGCTGCGCTGGTTCTCCTCTGGCTCGGCGCCGTCCTGGGGCGCCGCGTCCGGGTCCGGGTCGGCGTCAGAGGCCAGGTCTGAGGCCGAGACCGTGGCCTGAGCTGGTGCCGGGTCCGGGTCCGGGACTGGGGCCGGGGCCGGGTCCAGGACCTGGGCCGGGGCTGGGGGCGGGGTGGGCGCCGCCGCCGGGGCGCTAGGTGACTCAGGCGCCTCCTCGAGGCCGTCGACGGACTCAGTGGCCGGCGGCTCAGGGGACGGGATGACAGCCACGGCCACCGGGGGGGGCCGGGGCGCCAGCAGCAGGCGACAGCGCCCCACCTGCACCGTCTCGCGGTAGAAGGCAGGCACGGACTCGCTGTCCACCTCGGTCCACTGCAGGCGCCCAGGGCCCCGCAGCGGCACGTCCTGCTGGAAGTTGAAGTCCCAGCGGTTCTGGTCCTCCGCGTTCAGCTCCGCCAGGCGCATCTGCAGCTCGCGGCCCAGCTCCTCATGGTCCACCGGCCCGAAGAGGCTACGGCAGGCGCTAGTGCGCACCAGTACAGGATAGGTCTCACCGCTGACGAGGCGCTCCATCTCTGCTGTGCTGTGGAGGTACACGTCGGACTTGGCCAGGGGCTCTGTGACCCCGGGCAACGAGAGAGGAGAGGGGAGCGAGAGGAGGAGGAAGAGAGGCGAGGAGGAGGGCGGAGGCTGGGCAAAAGTGGGACCCCGCGAAGTAGGGGTCTAAGGGACGCGGCGGGAGTGCGGGCGCGAGGACTACCTGGCTGTCTGGTGGTGGACGGCTTCCACGGCTGGTTCGCTGGTCCTGTCCGGCTGCGGCCGCGCCCCCTCAGAGCTGCCTGACTGCTCGCTGGCTCACTCGGGCCTATTCGGCACCCCTCGAGCACAGAGCACTTGGCCTGTGGAACGCCCAGCCGCCTGCGCCCCCTTTATACGCGCGGGCCCCACCCCCGCGCGCGCGGGCCCCGCCACGATTAGCATAATGTAGTATTTTCAGTTTCAACAACACCGCGGCGATTGGCCGGCGCCGCGCCGCCCCGCCCCCCGCAGCCCGGCCCCCGCGCACCGCCCCATTGGCCGCGCGCACACACCCGGGGACGGGCGGGGCGCGCGGCCTGGCGTGGCTGATTGGCGGCCCCGCGAGCGCGCTGCAGCGGGCGGGGGCGGGGCGCGAGTTAAAGGGCGCTGCGGGCGGTAACGTGACACCGCGGCGCCCCGCCCCCTCGCCCCATCCCCCCCGCCCCCTCTCCCGCCGGCTCCTTTGTCTGCAGGCGGGGGCTGTGGGGCGGGGGTTGTGGGGCGGCGGCGCGGGCGCCCCCTCGGCGAAGCGGTGGGCACCGTCCCCCGCGGGCCCGGCGTCCGGCCAGGTCCCTCGGGCCCCTGCTGCCCGCGATCGCCACTGAGCCTCCTGTGCCAGCTGATGGGCTTCAACCCGCCGCTGCCAGTGCGTCCCTGGCGGGAGCAGGACGGGGTCTTGGGCAGTCTTTGGCGCTCGAATTTGTGCCTGCTTGGGAGGGGTCTGCGCACCTGGATCCTAGTACACCTGCTGGCCCCAAGGCCCTCGAGCGGAAGGCGACGACAGGAATCAGTTCCCCTCCTGAAGGGCCAAGTGGGGAACACCTTGAGAGCCTGCCGTCGTTCTCCGGCTCTCCCGAGGTGGGGTCTGGAGCCCGATATGTGGGCCCAGTAGATGGGACCAGGCTGTGCCCATCATGTCACTGACCACTGACCCGTTCCTCAGCCTCCTTGGGATTGGGTCTGACCAGGATCTGCCTGCCCTGCGCTGGAGGCTTTTGGACAGGAGAAAAGGAAGGACCTCCAGAGGTCACCTGGAAGAGCCTATGAAGGCCATGCCCCTCTCCCACACAGCTCCTTTGGGGGCATGCACACACACTCCCACCAGAAAAGACACCAAGGAAGACCATTATTTTCTGCCACCTTCCGTTGTCCAGCTGGCTGTGGGGCATGGACCAGGAAATGCCTGGACTCCCTCACTCCACAAGCCAGGAGCAACCCAGGTGGGGAGCCAGAACTTTCAGGTCCCCATTGGAGGTCCCAAGAGAGCCCTGAGCTCTCAGCCCTTTCAGGCTGAGAGGTCTCTGGGAGGGAGGGAAAGTGAGGCTCACCCACCCGAACCAGACTCCCTTCCAGAGTCAGATGGGTTGCAGGGAAGGGGGTGCTGCGTCAACATGAAGATGTGGCCACAAGTGGTCTTCTGAGTTTTGAAGCCAGGAGCAAACTGAACAGGACAAGGGCATGTGCCCAGAGTGACACCATGCTGGGATGGCAGTACCAAAGGCAGGGATTTGTGTGGACTGCTTTATTTTTCTCTGTATGTTATAGTTCTTATTCCCTACAGGCATCGATGTCAAAAGTGTTTATCTTTAAGGAAATAAAGAGAAGCTAACCAAGGGACCCCAGAACCCCTGGAGCAGGGCTGCTATCAAGTGGCCTGAGGTCAGTAGAAGGCAGGGTCTTATTCAGTCCTTTGCAGAGACTGACTTTCCTGTAGACCCTGGGCACAAGGCCACACTGGTTAGTGACCATCTTGTCCCCAGGGTCTCCTAAAAGGTCTGAATGCCTGGGCGTCAGCGGTCAAGGAGGGCCGGTTGGAGAACCCCATCCAGCCTGCAGCCTGTGCCAAGAGTTCCTCAGGGTCATCTTGTGCGTCCCTCTTGCTCGGACCTTGTGGTGCTCTGTTCAGTGCAGCTCCCATCACCCCAACTCCACCACCTTTTGGGGGAGGTACCCCAGGAGAAGGAGCAGGCTGGGACCCCTGGGCTGCCTGGCTTTCTGGTTTCCATTCAGTTCCCACTTTTATTTTTCTACTTTACCCGTTTAATTATGGAGTTAAACCAGGTGCTGCGGGACTCCCCCCTCTGTCAGCCACACTACAGCACGGGAGGTGACTGTCTCTAGAGTCTGTGACTCTGAATTCCATCAAGGATGGTAACAACAGGCTTGTTAAAGCTGTTCCTTCTTCCACCCAAGGAAGGGGCTCACCTGGACAAAGACATGCAGGAGCTGGGGAGGGGGGTGCTGGGCATCAAGAGGAGGCCCAACCCTCCACCCCAAGGGGCCTGGAAGCAAGCGAACATCTGTCTGTGTACAACAATCAAGTTCTATTTTTGTAATTAAAAATACATTCAAAGGAAAAAGGAAACAAAAAGAACAATCTTTGTACTCCGTTGCTGCAGAAAGCTGAAGTTGGGGGTGGGGGTGCTGGAACCAGAAGGTGGGCTGTGCTCATCTTGGACAGGTTTCCTGGGCTACTCTAGTACCCCAAATCCTGCTTACACAGGAGTGGGACTCCACTTATAGAAAGTGACAAGCTCTAGGGTCCCCTGCCTGGCCCCTGCCAAGCAGTATGCCCGTTCATCTCTTGTGACTCTCCAGATCCCACGCAGCAAGCGTATGACCCCACCTGTTTGCTCTCCTCTGAGCCCCCAGAAAGACCACAGTCCCCAGTCCTCTGTGTCCATTTTGGCCAGGAATCGTTTCGCTTCCAGGTGTGGCTGTCCAGAATATCAGAGCAGTCCTTCTGCCCCCTCTGCTGGCCAGATGGGGACCTGGGGACAGCTGCAAGGCTCCGGAGCAGCCCCTAGAGCGGCGGGCCATCGATGCCACGGCAGGCACACCCACGTTACCTGGGGCGTGGGGGTGGGGTGGAGTGAGGAGTAGACTTCAAGTGCATCTCCAGCTGCTGAGGGTCAGGCCTTTTGGTCTCTGGGCTGGCATCACAGGGCAGGCATACATTCCAGCGGCATGGTCAGCTGGGGAGACAAGCTGCGGAGAAGTAAAACCTTGCTCCAGAGCCCAGGCAGTCAAGGCATGGCACCCCCAGGCAGCCCAGTTCTCTCTCCCGGCTCTTGGACCTGATCCCTGGGCTGTGGTGCAGGCAAGCTCCAGATGCAGCCCCAGATCCAGCCCCACCCCACCCTCCTGGAGTGTGGTTCTTAGGGGAGACTGTGGCAGTTAAACCTGCTCAGTTCCCCCAGGCGCCACCCACGTGCCAGTCCTTCCAACACCTCCATGTCTGTCAGTCCCTGTTGTGGGCCCATCTTTCAGCTTCAAGAAGCTCTCAGCGTACTCTTCTGCCATTGAGCGGCAGAGCTGCAGACCCAGAAGATCGGTACTGCGGCCTCCTGCTGCCCCCTGGTGTCCGGCCTCTGCACCAGCACCTCACCTGGCCCCTGGGTCCCCCTTCTCTGTGGGCTGTGTCCTGGCATGATCACACACCCCACCAAGAATGTGTGCTGCAACTGGCTTCCCAGGGGAGGGATGGCTGTCCCAGAGCCTCAGGGAATCCAAAGTCTGGAAACATGGGGCAATTGGCCTGGGGGCCCTTCCAGGGGGTGACCAAGGATGGGGCTGGGACTTCACCCTCCTCTCTGACCCTTGGTCAAACCTGCCTCAGGCTGGTTCCCTGGATCCCGAGACCCTGAGCTGTCTTTTCAAATAAATTAAGGCCTTGAAGAATTTTCCACCAAGCCACTGGCCACATGTCAGCCATCCATCACAGAAGGCTGAAGACTGCAGGCGCCAGGTCAAGGCAAAAGAGAGAAGGCCAGGGGACGAGGCGTCTCACACCACTGCTTCTGCAAGCCCACTGGGGGGCCAAGCACCTGCCCAATGGCGGACATCCTGCAGTTCCCCAAGGGTCCTGCACAGTGTGCCCTGGGGCTGCCCACGACTCCTACCCAGGTGGTGCCCTTCCGAGGAGGCTGGAGGCACATTATAAATGAGGCAATCCCTAGCTGGCCCAATCCAGTGCCCGCTCAGGACCCTGCCTTGGCCCTTTAATCCTTCCACTACTGGACAGGAGGAAGGCCTTTTCATACCTGTTCTGCAAAGGAGGAGACAGAGGCTCAGGGAAATTAAGCTAACTGCCTGAGATCTCGAGGCGGCGCTGCCACTGGAGGTGGGACCTGCCTTCCCTGTGCTGCGACCCTCTCCTGGGCTTCTGTGAGCAAGGGTCCTGGTAGACCTCGGCTGACAGGCCCCCATCCAAGCCCTGGAGCCAGGGGTAGACAACAGTACAGTGTAGCCTCTGTCCAGGGTCGGCTGGCCCGGGAAGGACCACGTCTTTGGCCTCAAGCTGCATCACTCGGCAGCCTGTGCCTGGATCAGGCCCGGCTCCTCTCTGCCCCCCGAGCCTGCACCTTCTGCTTCCTAACCCGGGTGGGAGTCGGCCGGCGCGGAGGCCCAGGGGTGTGGGGAGTTACAGATTAACCCGCCGGCCCCCAGCAGCAGGCAGCGCCGGGCGCGCACTTGGCGGGGGCCCAGGCCAGGCGCCGCGCAAACGTCCCTCCCGCACCAGTTCCCGCGCTCGGCTCGCCCCGCCCCCAGCACGGGCTGTTCTCGGGGCCGCTGCCAGGCACGTCCGCCGCAGGTGCCGGCCTCCCTCCGGTGACGCGGCCACATGCGGCACGAGCTCCGATTACAGGGGCTGCCTTGTGCTTGGGGTCCCGGGCCAGGGGTCCTCGCTTCCCAGCAATCGGGGGAGGGGCCGGGCTGGCCCCGCGGGGAGGACCGGCGGCAACTAGGAACAGCCGGGGACAGGAGCCGCTCCCACACACGTGCAGGCAGCCGCCCCGGGGATGGAGGAGGGGCTCCTGGCCCGGCGTGCAGGGGGCTTCCTGGTTTCAGCACCGAGTGTCCCTGAGCCCCAGGACTTCAGGTCATCCTAGGCCCCAGAAGACCCCTCTCAGGGCTGGGGAAGGTCCAAAGGGCACCCCTACCCCCAGGCGTTCCCTCCACCCCATGGGCAGGACGCAGACCGCAGGGGTCCCCCCACTCTGCTCACTTTGCCAGAGAAAACAAAATGGGGTGCGAGCAGATCCCTTGTCCCTGTGCCCCCGTGTCCTTGTCAGAGCTAGTGGGGACCCTGGAGAATCAGCATCTCCTGCCCACACGGTGCAGGACCCCAGGC